CCAACATACCCTGTCTCCTGTATACACACACGGAGGCAAGCACACCAACATACCCTGTCTCCTGTATACACACACGGAGGCAAGAACACCAACATACCCTGTCTCCTGCATACACACACGGAGGCAAGCACAACAACATACCATGTCTCCTGTATACACACAAGGAGGCAAGCACAACTACTTACCCTGTCTCCTGTATACACACACGCAAGCACGCATACACTTCACGCATGGAGGCACGTCCTTTAATGACCTTAACTATTAATAGGACGTTATAAAAAATAAACCAAACCAAACCAAGTATATTCTATAGACCCTGCCACTTTATTGATCAGTATAGTTTGTTATGTATACGGTGTAATATTGTTTGATCATTACCATAGATGTGGTCAAAGGAGTACGAATCACACCCTATCAATCGAACGTTACAAGTCAATCTCCCCCGGGCATATGTACCGGGTACTATACGAACGTCAACCGTTCGCCTCGGGTGTTTTCGTGTCAGTGTATGTATATGTCTGTTAGGAATAGTTTATTACCGTGGGTATCAGTGGAGTGTCAGGATATAAAATTACCAAGCACGATGTTCCGAATGGACCCACTGGAATTATGATGGAGAATGAAGGTAATGTCTCTACTGACAGAATCAGGGAATGACTGGTATAAATATTGTGAGTGTAAAGATCTGTATCTATATCAATGTATATCCTGGCCAAACTCCTTGAGAACGCATGTAGTTACAGTAATAACAGTGCGAAATGATTTGTTTTGTTTTGTTTATTGGGTTGAATAGCGTCATATTAACTATTAGATTCCTTCAAGGAATAACTTCCGTGTGTGTAATATATTGTATATATATATAGTCTCCGTGTGTGTTATATATTGTACATATAAATAGTCTCCGTGTGTGTTATATATTGTATATATATATAGTCTCCGTGTGTGTTATATACTCGTGTATGTGTGTATGTGTACTGGAGGCAGGGTATGATGGTTCGACGAAAGGAGTGGAGCATTAAGCTATTATACGTACCACTTATACATGTTAATGTTGGCTTACATACGATCTCCGGGATATATTTGGCAATCATTGGAAGACTGCAACAAATCTTAGATCATCAAGAAAAACAATTGTCACATACTTGACCGTGATTTGGACAGTTTTGTGCACGGGACAATGCACACTGTGTACAGGCCATATGGAATGGCTACACATATATGTATAAATACCAACGCGTTTACACACGTTCGTACTTACAATTTATATCACCTTTCTTCATACAATACATACCGTTTGGTCCACCTGATTGCTAAGTGAAATAACTCAGTGTAATAATTTTATCGGATTGTGTCAAAGCCAAAGAGCACATAGAATTTAACAACAAAGCGGAGGGTAGTTGCCTAGAAGACGAAATTGTGTGAACATCTTAAATTCGTATTTTGACAATTATTATAGTGCTAAGCACTCGTGAGGATTGATTAAATGATACTGACATATCGTTGTTACCAAGAACAGCATCTATAATCATTTAGCTTTTCAATATTGACCTTCCCACGTACGTTATGTAAAGCGTAGTTTTAACAGTTGTATATTTCACCCACAGTCACACTTAAGGTTGTTTATATAATAATATATAATAATGTACGGATTAGTGTGCCGTGTATATATATACGACATGTTTATACATTAATATGTAATAATGTACGGTAAGTTTGCCGTGTATATATACGACATGGTGACATGACACCTGTGTCGTAACGTGGATCACTGATTCAGGAAGTAAGGTAGAGTTCCGTTCCCCCTGATAGAGACGAACAGCTGTTTATTAGGTGTGTATGTGGTTATCTGTTCATCAGTAATATAGGAATGGTTAAGGTTAATATATGGAAAGTTATATATCCCGTTTTGTCACAATATTTAAAAGTTTATATCCCGTTTTGTCACATTATGTTTTATATCACGTTTTCTCACATTATTTAAAAGTTTTATATCACGTTTTGTGACATTATTTAAAAGTTTAATATCACAGTTTTTTTTCACATTATTTTAAAAGTTTTATATCACGTTTTCTCACATTATCTAAAAGTTTTATATCACGTTTTGTGACATTATTTAAAAGTTTAATATCACGGTTTTTTTTCACATTATTTAAAAGTTTATATCCCGTTTTGTAACATTATTTAAAAATTTATATCCCGTTTTGTAACATTATTTAATAGTTTATATCCCGTTTTGTGACATTATTTAAAAGTTTTATATCGCGTTTTGTGACATTATTTAAAAGTTTTATATCGCGTTTTGTGACATTATTTAAAAGTTTTACATCACGTTTTGTGACATTATTTAAAAGTTTAATATCACAGTTTTTTTTCACATTATTTTAAAAGTTTTATATCACGTTTTGTCACATGATTTAAAAGTTTTATATCACGTTTTCTCACATTAGTTAAAAGTTTTATATCACGTTTTTTCACATTATTTAAAAGTTTTACATCACGTTTTGTGACATTATTTAAAAGTTTAATATCACGGTTTTTTTCACAGTATTTAAAAGTTTATATCCCGTTTGGTCACATTATTTAAAAGTTATATATCCCGTCTTGTCACATTATTTAAAAGCTTATATCCTGTTTTGTAACAGTATTTAAAAGTTTATATCCCGTTCTGTAACATTATTTAAAAGTTTATAACCCGTTTTGTAACATTATTTAAAAATTTATATCCCGTTTTGTAACATTATTTAACAGTTTATATCCCGTTTTGTCACATTATTAAAAAGTTTTATATCACGTTTTCTCACATTATTTAAAAGTTTTATATCACATTTTGTCAAATTATTTAAAAAATTTATATCACGTTTTCTCACATTAGTTAAAAGTTTTATATCACGTTTTCCCACATTATTTAAAAGTTTTATATCACGTTTTGTGGCATTCTTTAAAAGTTTAATATCACGGTTTTTTTCACAGTATTTAAAAGTTTATATCCCTTTTTGTAACATTATTTAAAAGTTTATATCCTGTTTTGTAACATTATTTAAAAGTTTTACATCACGTTTTGTGACATTATTTAAAAGTTTAATATCACGGTTTTTTTCACAGTATTTAAAAGTTTATATCCCGTTTTGTCACATTATTTAAAAGTTATATATCCCGTTTTGTAATATTATTTAAAAGTTTTATATCAAGTTTTCTCACATTATTTAAAAGTTTAATATCACGTTTTTTTCACATTATTTAAAAGTTTTATATCCCGTTTTGTAATATTATTTAAAAGTTTTATATCCCGTTTTCTCATATTATTTAAAAGTTTTATATCACGTTTTGTCACATTATTTAAAAGTTTAATATCACGTTTTTTTCACATTATTTAAAAGTTTATATCCTGTTTTGTAACATTATTTAAAAGTTTATATCCCGTTTTGTAACATTATTTAAAAGTTTTATATCTCGTTTTGTAACATTATTTAAAAGTTTATATCACGCATTGTCACATTATTTAAAAGTTTATATCCCGTTTTGTCACATTATTTAAAAGTTATATATCCCGTTTTTTCACATTATTTAAAAGTTTTATATCACGTTTTGTCACATTATTCAAGTTTTATATCACGTTTTGTCACATTATTTAAGTTTTATATCACGTTTTGTCAAATTATTTAAAAAATTTATATCACGTTTTGTCACATTATTTGAAAGTTTATATCACATTTTGTCACATTATTTAAAAGGTTTATATCACGTTTTTTCTTATTATTTAAAAGTTTTGTATCACGTTCTCTCACATTATTTAAAAGTTTTATATCAGGTTTTTTTCACATTATTTAAAAGTTTTATATCACGTTTTGTCACATTATTTAAAAGTTTTATATCATGTTTTGTCACATTATTTAAAAGTTTTATATCACGTTTTTTCACATTATTTAAAAGTTTTATATCACGTTCTCTCACATTATTTAAAAGTTTTATGTCACGATTTGTCACATTATTTAAAAGTTTTCTATCACGATTTGTCACATAATTGTTTTATATCACGTTTTCTCATATTATTTAAAAGTTTTATATCACGTTTTTTCACATTATTTAAAAGTTTATATCCCGTTTTGTCACATTATTTAAAAGTTATATATCCCGTTTTGTAACATTATTTAAATGTTTTATATCCCGTTTTGTAACATTATTTAAAAGTTTTATATCACGTTTTGTTACATTATTTAAAAGTTTTATATCACGATTTGTCACATTATTTAAAAGTTTTCTATCACGATTTGTCACATTATATTAAATAATGTTTCTTTATATGTTGCCTCTTCTTGTTTCGATGTTATAGAAACTTATGCAATATGGACTGGTATATTATTATATGATTATTATTTTATTTTCTGTAATCAAATAATCTGTTATACGATCACTGGTATGTAATCTATACTTACAGAAGTTTAATGTCTAACCGTTAATTATACTTACCCGTATAAGGACAGCATTATCCTCCCGGAATGATCACGACTTATTTCTGGATATAAGCGAATGACATAATTGTTACATTTCAGTATTCAAGTAATTGACGATGCTAATTTCCACTGTTCGTGAGGACATCAAAAGCACGTGCACGTGAGGACCTCTGCCGCAGTCGTCAGTATGAACATCCCACTTTTACTGATATACGCTGGCCTGTATTTCTCGCCCTTATCAGACCGAGGTAAGCCACCACGAGGAAATGTACTTCACACATAGTACAAATATATATGAAAACCTAAACATGGCAGATATGCAAGACTGATATACAGGCAAAGTTCAAGACAAAATTTAACCGGTCAATCGTTTTCAAACTTGAATAAATACGAGTATTTTTGTGTGTAGGAGTAAGTATTATAAATGCCATGACTTTGTTTATTGTGTTTCAGATTAATGATTGAATAAATATCAAAGATTCAAAATTAAGTTTAGTGTTCGATTAAAACAAGGCAGCTTAATTGATGTGTAATGTCCATCCTTCCCTTACAGATCAGTTAGATATTACCGCGGCACTTACAGTAGGATCGCTCCTCTTCAACATAGAGGCGGCCAGTATATGGATACTTCTGCGCTTCCTCAGGTTCGACCCAAGCGTCAAGCGATTCTCAAACGAGGTGATGCATGACACGGGGATAGCATCTTTAATGCAGAATTTAGGAATTCCCACGAAGGGCAGTTCTGGTACCAAGAGGCCTCCATACGCTCCGTACGACTACACCAGAGGCTATGTGAATGGGATGTATGGCCAGTCACACAATCCATACTTATACTAAACTCACAATACGGATGTAGTTAGCTATCGACAACGAATAAATCTGTACTCGTCTAAATCACAATATTTAAAATGAATCTTACAATGACGATAACTAAATCTGTTTCAAAGATACAAGTATAATTGTAATACATCAAATCGACCGTTTCCCTTTGAAATAAATTACTTAACATACGTTTGTCATTTTCTCATAGTTTCTCTACAATCTTAAAGTTTACCCTTACATGTGTATTTTCTCTTTTCCCCACTTAAACCAACGTGCTTCAGTGGAGGATTAAGGGACAAAGTTTGGCGATGTGGAGTGAATACAATTTTGTTGATAATGTGTCCAATTTGAGATAATAGGAAACACCGCTATATAACTATTTTAGGCAATGATTTCTTGAATCTAAAACAAAAAGTAGATTCGCCACTGCGCAAGTAAACCTCGGACCGAACTGATAAAGTTAACAGTAAACGTACTTCTGTCCTTTTAGTGTCCGGAGCATCACTTTACCCACACTTAAGCTAGGATCTTGATGTCTATCTCACTCATACTAAGACGATGTGCACTGAACCAAATTATGGGCCCTCAACCCTTATTTACAGAGCTATTGCCCTTTGTAAAATGTTGTGTCCGGAGCATAGCTTTGCCGGCATTTAAGGTAGGATAATAAAACTGTCACTTGGTTTGTACATAAGTCATACTAAGGCGATGCGCACGGTACCAAATTAAGGGCCCCCGACCCCTTATTTACAGAGTTATTGCCCTTTGCTAAAATGATGTGTCGGAAGCATAACTTTGCTCGCATTTCAGATAGGATCATGCATCTTGGTGTGTACATCAGTCACACTAAGGTGATTTGCACTGTATCCTATTCAGGGTCTGCAGCCCCTTAATAATAGAGTTATTGCCCTTTGCTAAAATATCAGACACATATACATGTATGTATGTTATAACCATTTTTTTTCTTCTTCCAAACTCCACATTTCAACATATTTTTACCATTATGTGTCAAAAAACTAAACAAATGCCAAATTCACATACAGCGAAAGCCTCCAATAAAGTTGTTTTAGGGGAGCATGCATCAGTTCCACTGATACTCTTGTTTATGCTATAAATCCCCATCACGATCATCAGATCACGACTTAAGCTAGTTTTTTGGATAAATATACATCAAGAACAACAAGATTAAAATATGTCCAGTAAACGTTATTTTATTAAATGACAAATAACATGGCAGACATGGTAACAACAATGTCAACCATATTGCATAAACATGTTTACAACATCAATCTTGAATACATTCCAAACAGGTGGAGCACAAGAATAGGCCACAGGACTGGAACGATGTTTACGTCAGACAAGTCCAGCGTCACCCAAAGTCTGGGACGATGTTAACATCATACCAGTCCAGCGTCACCCAAAGTCTGGGACGGTGTTAACATCACACCAGTCCAGCGTAACCAAAGTCTGGGACGGTGTTAACATCACACCAGTCCAGCGTCACCCAAAGTCTGGGACGATGTTAACATCACATCAGGCCAGCGTCACCCAAAGTCTGGGACGATGTTAACATCATACCAGTCGAGCCCCACCCAAAGTCTGGGACGATGTTAACATTGGGACAATGTTAACATCACACCAGTCCAGCGTCACCCAAAGTCTGGGACGGTGTTAACATCACACCAGTCCAGCGTCACCCAAAGTCGTGGACGATGTTAACATCATACCAGTCCAGCGTCACCCAAAGTCTGTGACGATGTTAACATCACCCCAGTCCAGCGCCACCCTAAATCTGGACCGATGTTAACACCATACCTGTTCAGCGTCACACAAAGTCTCGGACGATGTTAACATCACAACAGTACAGCGTCACCCAAATTCTGGGACGGTGTTAACATCAAACCAGTCCAGCGTCACCCTAAAGCTGGACCGATGTTAACACCATCCCAGTTCAGCGTCACACAAGGTCTCGGACGATGTTACCATCATACCATTCCAGCGTCCCCCAAAGTCTCGGACGGTGTAAACATCATACCAGTCCATCGTCACCCAAAGTCTGGCACGATGTTAACATCAGACCAGTCCAGCGTCACCCAGAGGCTTGGACGATGTTAATATCACACCAGTACAGCGTCATCCAAAGTCAGGGACGATTTTAACATCACACAAGTCCAGCGTCACCCAAAGCCTGGGACGATGTTAACATTGGGACAATGTTAACATCACACCATTCCAGCGTCACCCCAAGTCTGGGACGATGTTATCTTCACCCCAGTCCAGCGTCACCCTAAATCTGGACGGATGTTAACACCATACCTGTTCAGCGTCACACAAAGTCTCGGACGATGTTAACATCACCCCAGTCCAGCGTCACCCAGAGGCTTGGACGATGTTAATATCACACCAGTACAGCGTCGCCCAAAGTCAGGGACGATTTTAACATCACACAAGTCCAGCGTAACCAAAATCTGGGACGATTTTAACATCACACAAGTCCAGCGTCACCCAAAGTCTGGGACGATGTTAACATCACACCAGTACAGCGTCACCCAAAGTCAGGGACGATGTTAACATCATACCATTCCAGCGTCACCCAAAGTCTGGGACGGTGTTAACATCACACCAGTCCAGCGTCACCCAAAGTCTGGGACGATGTTAACATCATACCATTCCAGCGTCACCCAAAGTCTCGGACGGTGTAAACATCATACCAGTCCAGCGCCACCCAAAGTCTGGGACGATGTTAACATCACAACAGTCCAGCGTCACCCAAAGTCTGGAACGATGTTAACATCATACCAGTCCAGCGTCAGTCAAAGTCTGGGACGATGTTAACATCATACCAGTCCAGAGTCACCCAAAGTCTGGCACGATGTTAACATCACCCCAGTCCAGCGTAACCAAAATCTGAGACGATGTTAACATCAGAACAGTCCAGCGTCTCCCAAAGTCTGGGACTATGTTAACATCACACAAGCCCAGCGTCACCCAGATTCTTGGACGATGTTAATATCATACCAGTCCAGAGTCACCCAAAGTCTGGAACGAGGTTAACATCACACCAGCCCAGCGTCACCCAAAGTCTGGGACGATGTTAACATCACACCAGTCCAGCGTCACCCAATGTCTGGGACGATGTTAACATCACACAAGTACAGCGTCTGGGACGATGTTAACATCACACCAGTCCAGCGTCACCCAGAGTCTTGGACGATGTTAATATCATACCAGTCCAGCGTCACCCTAAATCTGGGACGATGTTAACACCATACCAGTCCAGCGTCAACCAAAGTCTGGGACGATGTTAACATCACACCAGTCCTGCGTCACCCAAAGTCAGGGACGATGTTAACATCACACCAGTCCAGCGTCACCCAAAGTCTGGGACGATGTTAACATCATACCAGTCCAGAGTCACCCAAAGTCTGGGACGATGTTAACATCACACAAGTCCAGCGTCACCCAAAGTCTGGGACGATGTAAACATCATACCAGTCCAGCGCCACCCAAAGTCTGGGACGATGTTAACATCATACCAGTCCAGCGTCACCCAAAGCCTGGGACGAGGTACATGTTAGCATCATACCATTCCAGCGTCACCCAAAGCCTGGGACGATGTTAACATCACACCAGTCCAGCGTAACTCAAAGTCTGGGACGATGTTAACATCACAGCAGTCCAGCATCACCCAAAGTCTCGGACGATGTTAACAACATACCAGTCCAGCATCACCCAGAGTCTCGGACGATGTTAACAACATACCAGTCCAGCATCACCCAAAGTCTGGGACGATGTTAGCATCATACCAGTCCAGCGTCACCCAAAGTCTGGGAAGGTGTTAACATCACACCAGTCCAGCGTCACCCAAAGTCTGGGACGATGTTAGCATCATACCAGTCCAGCGTCACCCAAAGTCTGGGACGATGTTAGCATCATACCAGTCCAGCGTCACCCAAAGCCTGGGACGATGTACATGTTAGCATCATACCATTCCAGCGTCACCCAAAGTCTGGGACGATGTTAACATCACACCAGTCCAGCGCCACCCAAAGTCGTATCCAAGATAGATGGTGACATTTTAGGAAAAATTAATAGAAACCTATAATGATGTTTCTACGAAGAAAAAAGAGGAAAATGTGTACGTGTACTATTCATGATCATGTATCATAGTCCTAGGTGCCGTGAAGGTATGTATTTGCACCTTATGACAATAAACACTCTATTTACAACATCTTAGATACTTCTACATCTACCATATAAAAAGCCAAAGATATATCAGTTCTTTTTATGTAGTGAGCAGCCTTCTGCTGGCCTCAGCTACATGCATTAAAAAAGATTATTGAAAACAACAACAAAAACAAAATCTTTCACACACAAGGATCCATCCACAACATAATTGAACCATGGAACGCAAATTACACTGTACTTGTTACACCGTACTTGTTACACTGTACTTGTTACACCGTACTTGTTACACCGTACTTGTTACACTGTACTTGTTACACTGTTCTTGTTACACCGTACTTGTTACACTGTACTTGTTACACTGTACTGGTTACACCGTACTTGTTACACTGTACTTGTTACACTGTTCTTGTTACACTGCTCTTGTTACACTGTACTTGTTACACTGTACTTGTTTCACTGTACTTGTTACACTGTTCTTGTTACACTGTACTTGTTACACTGTACTTGTTACACCGTACTTGTTTCACTGTACTTGTTACACTGTTCTTGTTACACTGTACTTGTTACACTGTACTTGTTACACTGTACTTGTTACACTGTGCTGGTTACACTGTACTTGTTACACTGTACTTGTTACACTGTTCTTGTTACACCGTACTTGTTACACTGTACTTGTTACACCGTACTTGTTACACTGTTCTTGTTACACTGTGCTGGTTACACTGTTCTTGTTACACTGTACTTGTTACACCGTATTTGTTACACCGTACTTGTTACACCGTACTTGTTACACTGTATTTGTTACACGGTACTTGTTACACTGTACTTGTTACACTGTACTTGTTACACTGTACTTGTTACACTGTACTTGTTTCACTGTACTTGTTACACTGTTCGTGTTACACTGTACTTGTTACACTGTACTTGCTAAAGAAAGTGGCGTTCTGGTACCAAATACCAGAGCAACCCAATCCTTTCCTCTGAGTTACAATTAATCTCAC